AAGACAAAATGTTCGTCAAGTCAAATCGTATTTAATAATCAAAATTTTGATTATTAGATATAATTTGTTTTTTTTATTAAACAAAGCTCTGATTATATGGGATCCTGTTTATTTATAAATTAAAAGTTTATTTTTTAGGATCCTGTATAAGGAGTTCTATTTAAACTATATAAATAAACAGAATCTTGTAATTGGGGTTCTGAGTTTAAATATAAATAAACAGAATCCCGTATAAGTGAGGTCTTGTTTAATTTAATGTTTAAATGATTATACAAATAAACAAATAACTATGCTAAACTTTTAGTATCATATTTGTATATATATATACTAGGGTAGTAACTCAAACTAAGTAAATCAAAACTATATTAGCTATATTGATCGTTTTATTATGATCACATTTTTATCAGTAAAATTAAAATATTCAATCAAATGATTTATATATAATTGCTAATGGCAGTATCATTTATCATCTGATTTTTTTTATCAGAAGCTTACCCTCCTTCTTACTATATAACTTGATCAGGTCTTTATATATAATTTTAAATTTTTTATTCCTTCTCCTAAAAAATCACCTAATTTTTGTCATATCTCTAAGTATAAAGAAAGTGTAAACTTCTAAAGGATTCACATAAACAGTGTACTTATTTTTCTAATTTCTTTCAATTGAAAATGTCGTATCTGAACTATTTCAAAGTAACTATGTTTGATTTTTTGTAAAATTCTCAATAAAATTATAAATTACTGCTTAAGATAAATTTTTCATTCTAATTAAAGAAATTTAAAATATTCTAAAAGATGAATACCCAAAACTTGCGAGTTTATAAAGAATCTTAAACATAGTTTTATTCTTAGACTTTTCATAAACATTTTGTAAAAATTTTAATGTAATTCTGTGTCTTGATAATGAGTTAAATTATTTAGAATAGATCGCTCAATAGTAATTTATATAAAATATTAGTTGTAACAATTGACCAAAATGTCTAAGATATTTAAGCAAAAACTTAAAGCACATAATGCAGGTCAAGCATTAGCAAATGCACAGAAAGCTGCTCAATATAAAAATCAAATTGATAATATTAATCAAAAGTTAATACAAATGGATGATAAAAAATTGTAGTTAATCTACCAAAGTATCATACAGTTGACTGATAGTGAATTATAGTTAATTCATCAAAGCATTGTACAATCTGCTTATAACCAAAGAACAAAGCCAACAATGCTTCAAAATTTGATTAATACAATTGAACAACTGTCTAATAATCAATTAAAATTCACATTTTATTTATTGGATACAATATTTAAAAGAACCAAATACAGAAAAATTACTTTTATCTTATTTGCAGAATAAGGCTTTAATTGATGATCTATAAGTAAACGAGAACTTAACACTGGGAAAAATTTTATAATAAAATATAGTAAAAAAATATTAAGTCAGAATTATGATTCCTATAGTATTAGAAAACTTTTTAACCTTAAATTGCTTATAACTTTTTATTTATTTAACTAATTTTACCGATCTTACTATTATTAGAATCACAAAAACTAGTTCTACAACTTTTATTAAAAACTTACAAGATATTAACTTAATAAAAAATTGACTTTACTTAGTCAGGAATGCTGATTTTGATATTTTATATATGTCACTATAGATTTTATTAATACAAATTCTCATTTATTCGTGAATCATCAATTAAGTTTTATTAATTTATCCCTTTAAAAAGCAGATCAAGATTCAGATTCGCTAATTCAAAATAATAAAGAATTGAAAAAAAATTAATCAGTTAGAATATTTGAATACTAAAAAGGAATATAAAATTAAATAGCTAGTGATACATTGTTACAATATAAGCATAAACAAGGCTAATATATTTAAAAAGTATGTACTGCTGCTGGCTATAAATTGTTGCCTTCCTCACAAAGCTTAAAAGCAAGTATTTTTTTTACAAA